AAAAAAACCTGGTATGTATTCATCCATAATCGCTAAAATGTATGTTCAAAAATAATGTACTAAATACCATTCACTGACAGCAGTTTGAAATTCTATCTGTTTCACAGAATATAAAGAAAAACGCTGGTCATTGACTGTAGTTTGACCATTTTATCTTAACACTCCTTTCTGTGCATAGAAAAACATTGTAGCTCTATAGCTACTCATTGTTTACAACAGATAGTACAATTGAACAAGTGAACCAATGTTAGATTTTTTTTATTCTAAACATCATTTTTATAAGATCAACCAATATCAAAATACAGTTATATTCCTATCTATACAATAACAGACATGTACACATTGTAACTTCTCTCTGTTTATCTTTTTCAGTTCGCGGGTAACCACAACCACCTGATCAGCAGTTACAGATACGTCATCACTTCCTTATCTTCAACAACAGATGCAGGGGGTTGGAGGGCACGCCCAAGTACCACGTGGGGACCACGTGGACCGGAAACCGGAAGGCGGGACTAAGGACTGAAAGGACGCTTCTGATTGGCTGAAAAATGGACAAAGGGGGCGTGGCCACCTGTCAAATTAAGTTTGATGAAAGGTGGTTTATATTATCTCTAATATGTATTATTAAATTATCAGTCTCAAGCACTGACCACAAAATGGAAACTCTAAACATTTATTACCATTTAAATGTAGTTGTAAATATATTACAACTACATTTATAACACCAGTGGCACAGTCATGTAACAAAGAGTTCATTTCATGGCTTCAGGTATCGTTAAAGCATAAACCAAAAAGTCACTAATCATTTAAACATATAACAGCCTCAAATGGATATCGAATACTATTTAAACATAACAACCAAGGCACAGAATATGCTACAAAGGTAACAGGCATAATAAGTGATTGTTATGTACAAATATAATAATCACCTTTTATTGGCCAAGTATGTTACACACAAGGAATTTGTTTCCAGTACAGAACCGAGGCAGCCATCTGCAGTGTCAACTCAACCGATGGCTTTAACCCTCGGGGGCAATGGAGGATTCAGTGTCCTGTCCAAGGACACTTTGACATGTGGACTGCAGGCACCGGGATTCAAACCTTCAACCTTCTGGTTGGAAGTGGGATGTGGAAAGGGCTGAAGAAAGTAGACAAGATTACAAGGAATCGCAGCACAGAGTGAAGAGGGAGGTGGCAATGGCCAAACAGAAAGCATATGATGAGTTGTATGCCAGGTTAGACATGAGGGAAGGCAAGAAGGACTTGTACAGATTAGCGAGACAGAGAGATAGAAATGGGAAGGATGTGCAACAGGTAAGGGTGATTAAAGATAGAGATGGAAAGGTGCTAACAAGTGAGGAGAGTGCAGAGAAGATGGAAGGAGTATTTTGAGGACCTGATAATTGAGGAAAATGAGAGGGAAAGAAGGGGGAAGAGGTGAATATTGCAGAGCAGGAAGTAGCAAAGATTAGTGTCATGATTCGGTTCCACTGCTTCCTGTCAGGCTTTTATTTTGACGTTACTTCCTTTTTGTTTCACCACAGTTTCGGTCTATTTACTTTTTTCATCACTCACATTAGATTCACCTGTTCCCGATAGTTTGCACTGCATTATAAGCAGCCTTCACCCTACAATCCCCGCCAGATTGTTCTAGATCCCAGCGCTGACTTTCCAGCATTTTCTTTGGTTTTGGTATTTTGTGTTTCTGACCCGGATCGTATACTCTGACTATTCTGTTCTGCCTTGCCCTCTTGTTATGGACTGCCACTGTGTATGATTATTGGACTTCCCTTTGGACAACGTATTTTGGATCCCTTTGATATATGTGTTTGCTGGCTCTGACCTTGGACTGTGATACCAACCCATAAGTGTGTTTTTGTACCCCTGTCTTGTATGGTTTTTTTGTTTAGCATTAGTTCTCTTATTAAATAGACGGTTTTTGTTCATCACTTCCTCGTCTGGCCATTTAATAGAGTTCACCAAAACTTTTTTGGCAGCATCACGCACTGATTCCTGACAGTACAATCTGGCCAAAACGAACTCAGCCAGTGAAGAAGTTGGAGCCAGTCAATCACTAGCTCTGCCATACACACCCACTAT